GATTTGAGAGTCGAGAGTTTGGATCTTAGCAACAATATCTGAGGAAGTAGATCTTAGCAACAAGATCTGAGGAAGTAGATTTGAGAGTCGAGAGTTTGGATCTTAGCAACAAGATCTGAGGAAGTAGATCTTAGCAACAAGATCTGAGGAAGTAGATTTGAGAGTCGAGAGTTTGGATCTTAGCAACAAGATCTGAGGAAGTAGATTTGAGAGTCGAGAGTTTGGATCTTAGCAACAAGATCTGAGGAAGTAGATCTTAGCAACAAGATCTGAGGAAGTAGATTTGAGAGTCGAGAGTTTAGATCTTAGCAACAATATCTGAGGAAGTAGATTTGAGAGTCGAGAGTTTAGATCTTAGCAACAAGATCTGAGGAAGTAGATCTTAGCAACAAGATCTGAGGAAGTAGATTTGAGAGTCGAGAGTTTAGATCTTAGCAACAAGATCTGAGGAAGTAGATCTTAGCAACAAGATCTGAGGAAATAGATTTGAGAGTCGAGAGTTTGGATCTTAGCAACAAGATCTGAGGAAATAGATTTGAGAGTCGAGAGTTTGGATCTTAGCAACAAGATCTGAGGAAATAGATTTGAGAGTCGAGAGTTTAGATCTTAGCAACAAGATCTGAGGAAGTAGATCTTAGCAACAATATCTGAGGAAGTAGATCTTAGCAACAAGATCTGAGGAAGTAGATTTGAGAGTCGAGAGTTTGGATCTTAGCAACAAGATCTGAGGAAATAGATTTGAGAGTCGAGAGTTTAGATCTTAGCAACAATATCTGAGGAAGTAGATCTTAGCAACAATATCTGAGGAAGTAGATCTTAGCAACAAGATCTGAGGAAATAGATTTGAGAGTCGAGAGTTTGGATCTTAGCAACAATATCTGAGGAAGTAGATTTGAGAGTCGAGAGTTTGGATCTTAGCAACAATATCTGAGGAAGTAGATCTTAGCAACAAGATCTGAGGAAGTAGATTTGAGAGTCGAGAGTTTGGATCTTAGCAACAAGATCTGAGGAAGTAGATTTGAGAGTCGAGAGTTTGGATCTTAGCAACAATATCTGAGGAAGTAGATTTGAGAGTCGAGAGTTTGGATCTTAGCAACAATATCTGAGGAAGTAGATCTTAGCAACAAGATCTGAGGAAGTAGATTTGAGAGTCGAGAGTTTGGATCTTAGCAACAATATCTGAGGAAGTAGATCTTAGCAACAATATCTGAGGAAGTAGATCTTAGCAACAAGATCTGAGGAAGTAGATTTGAGAGTCGAGAGTTTGGATCTTAGCAACAAGATCTGAGGAAGTAGATCTTAGCAACAAGATCTGAGGAAGTAGATTTGAGAGTCGAGAGTTTGGATCTTAGCAACAAGATCTGAGGAAGTAGATTTGAGAGTCGAGAGTTTGGATCTTAGCAACAATATCTGAGGAAGTAGATTTGAGAGTCGAGAGTTTAGATCTTAGCAACAATATCTGAGGAAGTAGATCTTAGCAACAAGATCTGAGGAAGTAGATTTGAGAGTCGAGAGTTTGGATCTTAGCAACAATATCTGAGGAAGTAGATTTGAGAGTCGAGAGTTTGGATCTTAGCAACAAGATCTGAGGAAGTAGATCTTAGCAACAAGATCTGAGGAAATAGATTTGAGAGTCGAGAGTTTGGATCTTAGCAACAATATCTGAGGAAGTAGATTTGAGAGTCGAGAGTTTGGATCTTAGCAACAAGATCTGAGGAAGTAGATTTGAGAGTCGAGAGTTTGGATCTTAGCAACAAGATCTGAGGAAGTAGATTTGAGAGTCGAGAGTTTGGATCTTAGCAACAATATCTGAGGAAATAGATTTGAGAGTCGAGAGTTTGGATCTTAGCAACAAGATCTGAGGAAGTAGATTTGAGAGTCGAGAGTTTGGATCTTAGCAACAAGATCTGAGGAAGTAGATCTTAGCAACAAGATCTGAGGAAATAGATTTGAGAGTCGAGAGTTTGGATCTTAGCAACAATATCTGAGGAAATAGATTTGAGAGTCGAGAGTTTGGATCTTAGCAACAAGATCTGAGGAAGTAGATTTGAGAGTCGAGAGTTTGGATCTTAGCAACAAGATCTGAGGAAGTAGATTTGAGAGTCGAGAGTTTGGATCTTAGCAACAAGATCTGAGGAAGTAGATTTGAGAGTCGAGAGTTTGGATCTTAGCAACAATATCTGAGGAAGTAGATCTTAGCAACAAGATCTGAGGAAGTAGATTTGAGAGTCGAGAGTTTGGATCTTAGCAACAAGATCTGAGGAAGTAGATTTGAGAGTCGAGAGTTTGGATCTTAGCAACAAGATCTGAGGAAGTAGATTTGAGAGTCGAGAGTTTGGATCTTAGCAACAATATCTGAGGAAGTAGATCTTAGCAACAAGATCTGAGGAAGTAGATTTGAGAGTCGAGAGTTTGGATCTTAGCAACAATATCTGAGGAAGTAGATCTTAGCAACAAGATCTGAGGAAGTAGATTTGAGAGTCGAGAGTTTGGATCTTAGCAACAAGATCTGAGGAAGTAGATTTGAGAGTCGAGAGTTTGGATCTTAGCAACAAGATCTGAGGAAGTAGATTTGAGAGTCGAGAGTTTGGATCTTAGCAACAATATCTGAGGAAGTAGATCTTAGCAACAAGATCTGAGGAAGTAGATTTGAGAGTCGAGAGTTTGGATCTTAGCAACAAGATCTGAGGAAGTAGATTTGAGAGTCGAGAGTTTGGATCTTAGCAACAAGATCTGAGGAAGTAGATCTTAGCAACAAGATCTGAGGAAGTAGATTTGAGAGTCGAGAGTTTGGATCTTAGCAACAATATCTGAGGAAGTAGATCTTAGCAACAAGATCTGAGGAAGTAGATTTGAGAGTCGAGAGTTTAGATCTTAGCAACAATATCTGAGGAAGTAGATCTTAGCAACAAGATCTGAGGAAGTAGATTTGAGAGTCGAGAGTTTGGATCTAAGCAACAAGATCTGAGGAAGTAGATTTGAGAGTCGAGAGTTTGGATCTTAGCAACAAGATCTGAGGAAGTAGATTTGAAAGTCGAGAGTTTGGATCTTAGCAACTAGATCTGAGGAAATAGATTTGAGAGTCGAGAGTTTGGATCTTAGCAACAAGATCTGAGGAAGTAGATTTGAGAGTCGAGAGTTTGGATCTTAGCAACAAGATCTGAGGAAGTAGATCTTAGCAACAATATCTGAGGAAATAGATTTGAGAGTCGAGAGTTTGGATCTTAGCAACAAGATCTGAGGAAGTAGATTTGAAAGTCGAGAGTTTGGATCTTAGCAACTAGATCTGAGAGTTTTATCATTTCCGGCATATTGGGCCGAAAAGGAGTGATCCGCGTAAGTATGAAAAAAAGTGAATTTTGTTGTATGGTGTTTTTTATTATATCCGTTTCTCTCACAATTTTCAATAAATATTATTGTTCAAACGGAAATATAAATAAACAATTCAAAAATAAAAATGTAAATGTAAATTGAAAATGTATTATAAACATGCTAAAAAGCGTATTTTTAAACTTAAAGGAAAAATGAAATTTCGTAAAAATGAGCATGATGTTTGATAAGGGAGTTTTAATTTTTTTTTTCAAAAAAATTAAGGAACTTAAATTGAGATTATCAGGCTATGTAGTGGTATTTTTACGATCTGACTGCAGAAATCGAATCAGCGAGACCCGAAGATTCATATTCCGCCGGAAAAATAGGGTTTCGAGGCGTAGATAGGGATAAAAAGATGCTTTAAGAAGATCTCAGTAGAAATATGGTTTATAAGAGGATATAGGTCAGGATATAAGATTATGAAAATTGAAGAAGTGAATTATCAAGATGTATTTATGAGTAAACTATATTGTTTTAAGCTATCTAAATCTGTTTTGATATAAATTAAAGCGTATACTTATGCAAAATGCGAAATTTAAATTAATACTTTTTTTTGCTATTTGGACACAAAGCTAACAATCCATCCAATAAATGACGTATACCTAGCGAGATGAAGCATTTTAACATGAAAGACAAGAAAATCTGATTACTTGTGTTGAAAGTTTCTGTATTTCGTCTTCTTGCAAACACAGCGTTCAGATGCAGAAGAAAATGCAGCCGTAATGACGCAAAAAGACACTAAAATAAATTGGAGAATTTCTGTAAAGTTTTTACTGAGCTTTGTTATTGAACCCGAATTTATTGCTGAGTGACAGGATATTAAATCTACGACATTCATGAGTAATTGTTATCAAATTGTCAATAAATTATGTTGAAGATGGTTTAAATGTCTTCGAAGGCATGAAATTAGATCCTAAATCTGTTTGAGTTAATAAAAGAGAACAAATGTTGAAAGAGTTGTCATATTGCCTACAAAATTTTCAAACATTTGCATTGAGACAATGTGAAAAAATGATGTCCAAAATACCTTTACTAAAATATTTTTAATTTGAATCATAACAAGGAAAAACAATAATGGCAGAATAAGAAAAAAAAACAAAGATGTTATGATTTGAACAGTTGCCTTTTAGATTCAAAAAGAGCATAGTGTTCCCAATCACTACACTACCTTCCTTTCTGATAAAAAGCTGAATAATTAGTATTTAATGAATTCTCCAACTTGGGGATTTGCGGCTTTTCCAAAATCTGTTATGATAGTTCTATATAGCAATTGATATATAATATGTTTTTTATAATCAAATAATTTTTTAGTCCAGATAAATTTTTTAAAATTTCAAAGTCTTTCCATTCTACTAACGCTCTTCACATCCATATTCTTTACCATATATGTAATATAACGCCTTATTTTAATTCCCATGTTTACGATTTATTTGTCGAAAAACTGTCTTGCCCATTAACATCTCGCGAAAATTTTCGACTTTTTGAATGGCCGTTTTCAAGATCTCAAAAACTGTGGGATATTTTTTACAAAGCTAATCGACATTTATTTACCACATATATGTACTATACAATGCACCTGGTTTCATCGAATTTTTACCGTCAGTTTTCTCGTGAGACTACCTTTCAAAATGTCAATAAAACAAAAGTTTACACTTAATCACACATTAAAGAACAATATAAGATCATTTTATCTTGATGGACATTTCTTCGATTGCACTTTAGTATCAGGAACTTCAACGCTACAAGTTCATAAAATATTTTTAACAAATTTAAGTGAATGGTTTGAAGAAAAATTCCTTGAATGCTCAGATTCAATGAAAATGACAACACTCCAGATAACAATGGATCCACAAAATTTACTTTTTTCTTTCATCGATTCAATTTACAAAGGAAAACTTGTATTAAATAGTGAAAACTATGCCGCCTATCTAAAATGCGCAGTGTACTATAAATTTAATTCAATAATTCAGCAAATTGAAGATTTTATTATGAAGAAAATCGTATTTTTGGATGCAACTAAGGAATTATGCAATTTTCAACTGAACGAACAACTAATTAGGATGAAATTTAACGGAAAAGATTCATTGCGCCTTATTCTCGATGAATTTACAAATGCAACAAATAAAACAAAGATTTACGACATTCTTTCAGCTACAATATTCGCAAATATTCTTAGAATATCCAAATACAGCGACGATGAAAAGGTTGCATTGATTGATGAGTTTGTTATTTATAAAAAACTTGAAGATTCACTTTCTGAGCAAGAAAAGAATCATTTTGCTTCTGTTATCAATTGGCATAACCAAGATGCATATTTATATCTTGTTCATTATGATTGTATCTGGGTTCCAAGCGAAATTTCTCGAAATTTATATTCAAAAATATTATCAAACAGAAGAATGTCCGTTAAAGGCTTTGAAAATGATGTAAAGAAGGTAGTAGGTTCATCATCAATCTCGAATCCTCTTTCTTGGATTGCTGAAATCAATAATTCAAAAGGTGCTTCTCAAACACCAGAAGTTTCAATATTTGAGATGTTTTCGACATTGGGAACTCATATGTTTATTAATCCCGTCGAATACAACTTACTCCACGTTTCTGCTTCTCCTCATCTCGGAATTCAGCGACCAATCCTTCGAGATTACATTCCAGCTAATGTATTTTCTAATAATGGAAGATACTACTTGAGCCAGGCCGGTTCTAAGTCTAATTTGCCTTATTTCCAGTTATCTCTTAATAAAAAGGACAAATTCGTCCCGTCATCGATCACTGTTGCATCCAATGAATCATTCCCTATCAATACTCCGCCCAAAGCAAATTCGGTAAGGAAAACTTTGCAGAAAAAGGCTCCAAAAGATATCTGCATTGATTTCGCAAATTCTGATAAATCAGTTGCTCAAATTAACTGCTGTATGAAACAGGGGAACAATTTGTCTTTAGATGCTGATAAATCAATACAAATTAATATAAATGAACGCATTGAAATCAATTCCGTTAGAATTACTATGACCTCGCCTTCAGAATCAGGTTATTGGAACTTTAGATTATCTGGATTGGATATGAAAGGCAAGTTCCTCCCATAAAAATAAAATTTCTTGTAATATAAAATTTTTACAACATCTTTTTGCTTCTAACTATATCTCGCCTGTTTCTAATCTGTGAAAGTAAGTCATTGTTTAATATTAAATAGTTATGTTTGGAAAATTTAGATGAGAAAAGTGAGCAATTCTTTTTAAAAAAAGAAACAAGAAAATGCAACTTCTTGAAACCATAATTCAAGTCTGATGGAATTCAATTCAGTTGGAAAATTTATCATTTGGAAAAAAAGCGTATTCATCGCCAAAATTCAAAGGATATTACCAGGAATTAAGGGTGCACCCGTATGTACGTTTATTTGAGAGGAGGAGGATTATATTTTTGAAAGGGTGAAACATTATGAATATGTTAATTATATAATAATATGTATTATTATAAAAAAGAAAAAATAAAGCACGTTAAAATTTTTCTTTCTTGATTTTTTACAAAATCTACTTAGAATTATGCAAAATATGACTAAATAATTATAAATTTCAAGTTAAATTTTAATTTTGATAAATAATTTAAATTTCAAAATGTCAAGTTCAGTTCGACTATGTATGTAGTAATTCCTCAATAAAGTGCCAAAACCCTATTAAAATATATGAACATTTTCAACATTTTAATGTTTTTATTTAAAAATTTGATGGAATATGAGCTTCAAACAATTATTATGTAAATAAAAAATTAAATATATGTATTTATTCGTATTACAACCGGAGTAAGTCGATTCTTCCTTTCTTCTACTGAGGTTTGAATTTGATTTCGAATTGTAAAGAGATTCAAAGGGAAAATACTAGCGGATAAAAACTACCTCCATGAAAGGGTCATAATGGAGTCAAGTTGTATTTTTTGATATTTTTTGCTTTTCGAGCCTAAATAGGTAGCCAAGATAATGCCTAAAAATAAGGTTCTAAATTCTGAAGTTTACATGATCCTCTCGTGTGCACCCTTAATAATATAGTTTTCATCAAAAATTTTAAAAATTTCTCATGCAATAAAATATGACAGTTGGCAATTTTTCCACTAAAAAATTTCATTTTTTAAAAAGTATGCGTAATCTTCGAATTACCTCTCAGGTTAATCACTTCCGTAACAATAATATGTTTCTTGATGTTGAATTAAGGCACAAGGGCGAATCCATTAAGGCACATCGCTTAATCTTATCCCAAAATTCCCAATGGTTCCGTGAAAAATTGAACAATGTCAAGCCACCGTCATATAATGAGCCAGTTGTTATCGATTTACCATGGAACGAAGACAACGCTTTCCAGCACGTTCTTGAAGCTATATACACAGGTCATTTACAGCTTACACCAGACATCGCTCCAGCTGTCCTTAAAGTTGCTGACTTCTATAAATTCCGCAACATTGCATACCTTACAAGCGACTACATCAAAGATTTAGTTAAAACTTACAATAACGAAAAGAAGGACATCAAGGCCGAGTACTGCAAGAAGTTCGTAAGCTACCAGCTTCCAGAATACTACGACATCCTCGTTGATTACGCCGCACGTAAATTCAAGCAACTATTCATCGCTGAAGATCAAAACGAGACTGTTGATGAAGTCTACAAGATGTGCGCCGATGGCAGATTTATTGCCAAGATCTTCATGCATCAAGATACCGAATCTACAAAGGGAAGAGATCCATCTTCTGGCACCCTTTACTACGATATCAAGAGTCTCTTCAAAGATGACGATGATGCCATTTGCGAGCAGTTCGATGCCTTCTTCAAGAACCACAGAACAAATATGACTCTTGAAGAGAAGAAAGCTCTTTCTGATGTCGAAATCATCAACTGGACCAAACAAGAAAAGTACCAGCTCATCATCAGACACACATGCAACTGGTTGGACCCATCAATTTCTCGTAATCTCTACGGAATAGTACTTTCCAACCGTCGCCAGGTTTGCAAGCATTTCGATGGCGACATCCAAAAGATCCAGGAGGAGACCGTCAACAGATGGTACGGCGCAGAATGGCTTTCTCAGATTACTTCTGCTATTGACTCGGAAACAACACCAGAAATCAATGTTGTTAAGTTCATGACAACACTTGGTGGTGCTGTAGACTACGTCGATCCAGAATTATACGGTTTCATCAACCCAGAGAGTCCCAATTCTAAAAACTCTCCAGAAGAAATCATCCAGGAGCGCCAGCCAAAGAATGCATTCCGTGATGATACCATTTGCTTCACAGCTCTCCAGTGCATCCTTGGAGATTTCAAGCAGTACCAATTCCACGTCGATTTCGGACCAAGGGCCATTTTCCAGGCCCACTCAATTTTGGTCGATATGGATAACATGTACAGAAACCTTGAAGTTACTGATAACCAGTCATGTATTGTCGATCCAAAGCGTCGCAAGTCACACAAGCTTCCTCCAAAGGTTTACGTCCAGTCTTGTCCAGATAACAAGACAGAAGCATTCGTTCCAGATGGTATCGGTGTAAATTGGCAGGAATTCGAACACACTCTTAACAAATTTGTTGTTACAGTTGATAAGGATGAACCTACAATCTTCCTCCGTTACGTTGATATCAAGGGATGCTTCTTACCTACAATTCAACTTCCAAAGAAGTAAAAATTAATCTACATTTATAATTTGACTTTTTTAATATCAATGAAGAATACATCATAACAATATTATATACTAAATAACAATGAATAGCATTTCCTTTTTAAAAAACTTTCAAACTTCCGAAAATTTCCAATAAATTCTAAAAAGTCACCGAAATCATTTATGTGTGATTCTAAAAAGTATTGAGTTGTCTTGTTTGTCAACTCAAACTACTCTTACTTACTTTTCAAGTGTTTTTCCATCACTTAATTCAGGTAGGAAAGATAAGTAACTCATATCTTTTTCTCGATCTAAGACTATCTGCGCATCAAGTTCTTAAAATGTAGATTGCTTGATGATAACATCAAACATTCATTGATAATGTCATGAAATATAATTACAATAAGATATCTTTCTAATTATAGTTCAAATATTTGTTAGATTTTTGGGCATAGCACCAACTCTCAAATAACAAATGCAATAATCAATGTTTCATCGAAATCAATTATAGAAAATTTTGCTATAGGGTTAGGCATATAGTTTTACGAATTGAAGCTTGTTCAGATTTCTTAAGTATTTTCGATTATTGAAGTAAATTGAAAATTTTCAATAATTTTGGCGAAGTTTTGGATATTACCGAAAAAGAATATGGTCAATCACATTGCTTATTTCCAAAAATAGCTACTCAGTAACATTGGACAGCAAGCATTGATCAATGCTATAAAAATTTTCCTATTCAATAGCTTTATGTCCGTTTAGAAATAAAATGTATTATCCATTATTCGGTCATGTGAACGAAGTATATTAAAGAAAATCGATTTTTTTCAAATTGGTCAATTAATCTCAATTCATAGAAATTTCTCAAATTTGAATGAACATAAAAATTTTTCATATTAAATAATACTGTTGCATGCTAAGTTCGGTCAACGATAGAAATTGAGTGAAAATTAATCGTCGAGGAAGTACGATTATGTAAAGTAAAAAAATGTTGTGGGATTTTTAATATTATATATTATTTTATAATAAAATTTTTTTGAGTCATTTTAAGAAGCACATATAATTTTTTGAATTTAAAAATTAAAGTAGTGTCAAACGAATTTATCACTTAATTTAATACTCAGATTTCTTAAAATTAATGAAAAAAAGGTTTTCTGAGAACTTTTGAGAATGGTTTTCAAATTCCATTATTGAAAATATATAGGTATTGTATGAAATTCAAACTCTATATTTATTAAAATTCTAAATTTTTAATAAAATAACTTTTCAGAGGAATATGATTTTGGATGGTTGATTAATAAGTATAAAAATGTCTACGATTTTAAGGAGGGAATTGTTCCTTATGAGGTATACATCATAACTATACCTCATAAGGAACAATTCCCTCTTGATAGCTGGGAAACTTTCTCTGAATAACTTATCATTTGGAGAAAGTTTCCCAGCTATCTATTAGAAACTAAAGGCTGTGAGGCACTAATATATAATCAGTGCCTCATAGCCTTTAGTTTCTTATTAAAAACGAGAAAACTTGTTCGAAATGATAAACAATTTCGAACAAGTTTTCTCGTTTTAAGGAGGGAATTGTTCCTTATGAGGTATACATCATAACTATATACCTCATAAGGAACAATTCCCTCTTGATATCCTGGATATTTTTGAATATATTTTTTTAATTAAAGTTCTCAAAAGTATTATCAAAAGTGATTTTTTAAAAAAATATCTCCAATTAATTAACTAATTAAAAGTATTATATTTTTAAAATTAAATAGTTTTTCAATTTTTTTGAAGGAATTGAGATACTTCCCACGACAATAAAATTGAGAGGTTTACATTATGACTGATCTTAGCATGCAACAATACATGTGTTACTCATCCTCCAATTAATATTTTCCTTCTTCAGTAAAAGGTACATTCACTATTTTTGACAAAATTTTAAATTTTCATGGGGTTGTAAATCTTATAATAACTAGATGAATAAGGAATGAATCCCAGTATAATGTGCATCATTATATTAAACACTATATGTAAGGCTAATGATTCTATTAACACTTATGAGGATCTATAGTATTTGAGCAGATAAATTTGATAATTTCCAAAACTCTTATATTTCAAAATTAAAGTGTGCGAATGCATTTAAATGAGAGCAAAAAGAGATTGATGCTGTTAAAACTAGGTGTTAATTTGCAATTATTTCGCATCACAAAGAACTACCCAGTAAATTCGGCTATCTTTCTTTGCAATTATTCTCCATTATACATATAATATAATGGTTAGGGTTTGAAGAAAAGTTACTAGAGAATTATTGACTTTTGAAATAATGCAGAATTTTACTTGAAGAAATCATTAATTTATGAGTTCCAAATTGCTAAGCATGACGAAGGATCATTAAATTTGCTACAATTAAATACACTTATTGCAGAATTAAGATTTTTGAAATTAAAAGTTTGAAATTGCCTTTTTGAATAAAAATTTAAATTTTATTATATAATCATGATAATATCTTATAGAAATTAAAAGAAAATATTTTAAACCATTCAAATATTTTGAATGTCTTATCAATTTAAAATATTAAAAAGATAGCTTGATTTTATCATCATTAGTTGTTATCAAAGTTTTTCTTCTTTTGATGAACAACAGTAAATGATTTGTTAATTACTTGTCTTCCTTTTTCGCAGCAAAATCAAAAGTTATGATGATAATCTTGCTCTCAATTTTGAAACTCTCTGATTTACAAGTAAGCATTCCTTTGGAAAAGCAGTCCTATTCTGTTTTCAAGATATTTTAAAGCCTCCATTTCATACAATGCGCAGATCTATTCGAAATTGCAAGAACTCTCAAGAAAAATGCAGCAGCAAAGAAGATTCCATAGTTTCTAGCATCAAAAATTTACAACCTTAATACAACAGTTAAAGAGAAGCTCGAAAAGAAAATAATTAACCATAAAGCTGGAAACCATTCGATATCTACTATTGGATCTAATAAAAGTTAATTATAACATATTTAACATGCTATTTGTTGACTTTGTTCCATTATATTACCATATATATCTTTTTGAAATCTAAAATATTTTTACAATTTTAACCATGTGTTGTTGAAACCATATATCAATCTTAGCTAAAGTATAGTTTATGAGTCTGTCACCATCTAACGTATGAATTTCAAAAATGTCAAATATGTTCATTTTTTCTGTAGATTCAGCCATAATTTCACGTTGTTATACTATTCAACTATTATTTAATATTTTTATCGATTTAAATATATGATGAGATGCTTAGTTCTCCTGGAAATCGATTTTTAATCGCAATTTTAACTTTCCAAAAAAAATTCAAAAATAAAAATCCCTCTCAATTTTCTAAGTTTTATAACTCGCCAAATCTCTAGCCAAATTTTTTTTGGCCCGTATAAATATTGTTAGGCACTATATAGGGATGCTATTTATCCTATTTTCATCCCATTTTACTGTTATCGCCTAGTGAATGTACCTTTCTTCAGTAAACGGAAGGTATTTAAATGTTTGGGGATAAAATTCAATTCGAAAAAAATTGAATGGGGGTCACTGACCTACAAATGGACACCCAGCAGCTGGATACATTAATCTTCCAGCTCTTAAGTACGCGAATGGAGAGTAAGTATCCTATGGAAGCAATAATAGAATATGATACACTTGTTTCACTTACCGAAGCGGCACAAGAAGTATTATCGGAAGAAAAAACTGTACTCCAGCTGCAAGGAGACATTTATGCCGTAGGCGATATTCATGGATCAATAGACGATCTGATTCGCATATTTGAAAAGTGTGGTTATCCTCCAAAACAGAAGTACATATTCTTAGGAGATTATGTCGATCGCGGCGAATATGGACTGGAGGTTGTCTCCTTATTATTAGCATTAAAGGTAAAGTACCCCGATTGTGTTTATTTATTACGCGGTAATCATGAAATTGAGCGAATTTCATCATTTTATGGATTTTATGATGAGATTGCACTCAAGTATTCTCTCGACTTATACAAGAAAATCCATTACACATTTAACTTCCTGCCAATTGCTGCAGTTATACAGAAAAAAGCATTTTGCGTTCATGGCGGTCTCGGACCGAACATTCCAAAAATAGAAGATTTAATAAAGTTAAACAAGCCAGAGGACGTCTCCGGTGATAATGTCTTTGTTGACATGCTATGGAGCGATCCTAGAGACCAAACAATGAGATTTCATCCGTCGAAACGTGGAAGCGGCTTCTACTTCAATAAAGATGCACTCCAAGACTTCCTTACACTAAATAATCTACAGTATATGATACGTTCCCACGAAATGTGCCAAAATGGATTCGATAAGCCGTTCACCAATGATAGCTGCATTACAATTTTCAGTAATACAGACTACTGCGGCTTAAAGAATGACGCCACAGTTCTCCATATTCATCCCGACGGTACAAATAATCTCTTATTTATTCCTTATCTGACCCCTGAGGAAAAGCAAAAGCATCGAGTCGTACTTCCAGAATGGCTCTTAGAGTTGAATTTGAATACAAATATCTCTTCTGCTTCCTCCGGTGTTGATTCCGACCTTAGCGAGTCAGAAGAAGAAATGTTTGCATTATACTTGTCTAGTGTTGCTTAAATATATTATGTTGTGATTTTTCATAAAACGAGAAAAATTTTTGAAAATTATGAAAATTTTGATACCTTTGTCCTTCTTGTGGTCTCAACATTGATGTACTCAATTTCTGTATTACGGAATCGTAAGGTATCATGCAGAATTTTGTTTTTCTCTTCCAAAAAAAAACTTAAATTTCAAAATTCAAAAAGTATTTTCTAAGAAATGATTTGCATTTTTAAGATTTCAAAATAAATTTGGAAAATTTTAAAATCCATAGAAGAAAACTATTATTAATATGCATTATATTTTCATCAAAATATTTTATCATAACAAAAGATTCAAAAATTGTTAGGAAAAAATGTTAACAATTCGCCACATAAATCTCAAAAATTTGTGTAATATTGTAGAGTTAATCTATATTTAGAAGGAAACATCCAAATTTCTTTTCTGAAATCAAATTTTACTCAATTTTCACTTTTTTTATTGATGATTTCCCTCTTATTTTCATTCAGTGTTAGTCAACCATTAGATTTATTAGACTGCAAAGTCAAAAGGAATAAACAGAATATGATTAAGAATCTTGATATTGAACCTTTACGTATATTTTATTTCTAACAAACAGCAATTACAAAAGGAAAGCCATTCAGATACGTTTTTGAGGCAAAAAGTAATAGTACAAATTCTAAATATTTCTTCGAAATGCAACTCTGTCACGATAATACACCTCTTATCAGACAACGTGGCGATTTTTGCCGTAATGACAAAGATGGATGCCAAGACAATAACCTTAGACATGTCGGTACAAATTTAATACCAAATAATATCAGAGCAGGTCGTTATAATATGAAATTCATAATATATGGTGATGATCATATGCCAGTATCATGCAAATATGCAGAAGTTAACTACGAGTAATTATTTCTGCATAATAACTCTGAGAAAATTTTTTTAATATTCGCTCTTCTACTTTCAGAGTATCTCTTGCGATTTCGTATATCGTTAGTATAGTATCTATCATGTATTTCTAAACAAAAATATTATTAACTTTTACAAAAATTCGTTTTCAACCCGTAATTGTTGGAATGAAGTGATCCCCGACCAATTGAGGAATCTCCATAATCACTAGTGGGATATTTAAGTTCGCATTTTTATGATTAATTCGTTAGACATCGCGTTTTTGATATGAATTATTATACATTTCGGAATTCATTTAACCAAGAACTATCAATATGATTGTCAGCTCGGACATAATCAGAATTCAGAATAAAAGCACTTTTAACCTATTATAACCGATTTCGAATGAACGAACTCTCAGCATTTCCTTAAAATTATAAAAGCTCATACTCTTAATAATCATTTTTTAAAAGATAATCGAAGGCGGAGAAATATTTTGAATGAAAAAATTGATTTTGAAATGATCGTAGCCCACAAAAAATGGAAGATCGTTCTTATCTCTCATCTATGGGAAATTCTGAGGCAAGAGCGATGCTTCAGCTTCAGGATTGGCTAGTAAATATAACAGAAGATGCAGTTGAGAGTCGAACGAAACAAATTTCAAATTCTGTTTTTATCTATCAACCGATAAATGAAAAACAACTCGTTCATTGTATATTTAACACAATGACTTATCGACCTCTACGCGTTAAATCTCTCGCTCACCTTTTGAAAGGCATTTTATCTGTCGTCGACTTAGAAAAGTCGCAGCTAAGAGATCTGTTCCTACATGCTATTGCTTTACATTCTCATACAGAGTATACACATCTTATTTTCTTCCGTGAACTCCTCGCAACAGGTGTTTACACAGAAGAAGAAGTTGTCAACGAGATAGTTGGATTCTACGAACAAATACCGGCAGCTGAGATCAACCATCTTTTGCTATTTGCTTGGTTTGCTCCTGAAATTGAAAAACACAATCCAATGCATTTTCAGCGATGCTTAGATGTATCTGAGAGATCTCAAGTCATGCATACACGCCCTGATATACTACACTTCATTAATAACCTTCCAATTTTCAGAGATAATGACTACGCTTTATGGAAAGAATGTATGTCGATTCATGATGAACCAAGTTCAGTACCACATATAATTCGCGATGATGACCTAGAAAAACTTCAAGAATTTGCTAAAGCTCCAGATTTTGATATTAATCAGCGAGTTTTACCATTTATTTTCACGATTTCAACATTTTTAACATCGTATCCTACATTAATACAATACACCGCATTCTGTGGTGCCGAGAAATGCTTCAATTTCCTGTTAGAAAAAGGAGCAGATGTTACATTAGAAGATTGCGCTCAAACAACACTCGCTCAGTTCGGCATTGCAGGTGGCAACCTTAACATTATACATACACTTGAGAAAATCGTTCCAATGGACGGTTGTCTCTCAATGTCAGTGAAATTTATTCACATTCCTATATTTGAGTGGCTTTTATCCACCAAGTTCAAAGATATATCAGCATCAGACCTCAAAGGTCTTTCTCCAATCCACTACGCCTGCGAATCCGGTTGTCCAGCCGCATTATTAAAATGTCTTGACAGCAACATTGATCCAAACATCTCATTCAGTACAGGATGGTCACCATTACACATTGCCGCTAAGAATGGTCAGTCATCCATTCTCAGAATCCTTACTTCCCATCATAAGATAAATATTAACAAAACCGACGCTCACGGATGGACTGCCTTGCACTGGGCAGCCTCCAACATGCATCCAAACTCATGCAGGATCCTTCTCCGGCATCCAGAGATCAACGTTAATATTGTTGATTCAGAAGGTCAATCTCCATTGCATTGGGCGGCCATTAAAGGGTTACCCGATGTCATTGCAGCCTTGTTAAGCCATCCAGAGATCAATGTCAACTGCAGGAACAACGATGGAGACTCACCACTTCACTTGGCATCAATGAAAGGAAATACTTTTGCGGTTAGAGCACTTTTGGAAAATCCGAACATCAATGTCAATATTCCTGATGATTCCGATGCAACACCTCTTTATCTTGCAGCAGAAAATGGAAACACAAGTGTTGTAAAACTATTGATGGAACATCCAGGAATTGATCTTAACAAACCTGACAATTTTGGTGGTACTCCTTTAATTGCTGCATGCGGACCAAATGATAACAACATGAAGGAAACAATCGAGCAATTGTTGTCATCAAAGGATATCGATGCTGATGTTGTCAGTCAGAGAGGATCAATTGCTTTACACGCTGTATGCGAAAACGGTTCTCACGATGAAGTTTTACTTGTAGCGAAAAGAACATCGAATCTCAATGCACAAGATGGCTTCATGTGGACACCTTTACACACTGCAAGCTCTGTAGGAAACGCATCAGCAATTGAAGCATTGTTGGAATTACCTGGTGTTAAAACAGATATACCTGATTCAACAGGAAAAACTCCTCTTTTTTGGGCAGTTGCTTCTGCAAGAGATTCTGAAGTTGGTGATGCAAAAGAAAGTGTTAAAAGATTGTTACCTGTTTCCGATGTAAATCATAAAGATGATGAACAACAAACAGTGTTACATACTTGCGCAAATATCGATGATGAATCAGATATCTTGGAATTATTAATATCTAAAGATGATGTGGATGTAAATGTCACAGATAAAGTTGGAAGAACTCCACTACATATTGCAGTAAAATCAAAAAGTTTAAAGAACGTTGATTTACTGTTAAATAAAAGTGACATAAAAATGGATGTTAGAGATAAAACAGGAAGAAATCCTCTACACATGGCATGTTTGTATTCATCTTCAGAGATTTTGCAATTACTCTTAAATCATGGCGGTTTTGACTTGAATGATGTAGATGAAAAAGGAGAAAACGCACTGATGTTGGCTGTCGAAAGCGGAAGTGTTGAAAAAGTTCAGATTTTGGTCGAAACAGGAAAAATTGACTTGAACGCAAAGGATAAAAGCGGAAGAACAGCTCAAACAATTGCACTGAAATTAGGTTACGCACCAATTGCTCAATTGTTATCAAAGATATAATTTTTTACTATGGATATTTTTTAAATAAAATGTATTTTATTTTTTTTAATATATTTTGTTGTATCTTACTAAAATATAACTTTGTTTTATCCATATTAATATCAGATCAATGTTAACTATTGATATTCTATAATTTAATAAACATAATCTTATGTTTCTATGAATCATATAACTATGCTCTTTAAATTTATGAAATACAATATGAAAGCTCTTCATTGGTTTTGTTCGTCTGATTTCTCTATGAAATGAAGATATCAAAGATTCAAGAAAAGCGTTCCGTAAGAATTTAGTCATGTCAAACTAAAGACTAAAGTTAAATTATTACACACATCAGTTATACAATAAGTTTGAAGAATGCAATGTGATCAATAGTAGTGCTTTTCTTTGATTTCAAATAATCATTAATTTAAAAAAATACAAATAAACGTCAGGGGGTGTGGCTCAGTGGTAGAGTGCGACTTTAGCATAGTTGAGGCCGGGGGTTCGATTCCCCCCATCTCCATTTTTGCACAGATTTTAAAATTTGTCACTTTTATCTCCTTGATTTTTGTTCAAAAATTAGTACGGCATGAGAAGACGTTCTGCTATCACAAAGCCGTATCTAATTAAGCACAAACTATTTCCTGCGCTAGTGTTTATATTTTCTTTTCTTTATCACGATATTTTCCATTTCAAACTTCTTTATATGATTCGTGTTACTTACATGGATATGCCTTTATTAAAACCGGGACCTATTATCAAAGGAGAAGGCGATGTTAACATTATTAAAGTATATGATTTCAATCTATCATTTACTCCTCGTCGTACAAATATGATATTTTGGTTTGAAGTCATTAATGATACATTCGATTATAATATTTCGCATCCACAAGGTACACATCTCTTCCCTCCACACTTTGGAGAAAAAGGTATGGTCAATTTTTGGAATAATTTTACTTCAAGATTTACTTTATATAGGGATATGTATGTCAATAACAACGGCGCATTCATGAATGAAACAAATGTTATCGAACCACAATACAGAACTGGCCCAGATTGGCTATATCAATTCAAAGAAGGCAAATTAGCCACAGAGTGTGATACTGCTATTTGTTTCGGCCATTATTATTGCAAACTATCTTTTGGACACTTTACACATGACTATTTGTTCCCTTTAATGATGGTTCCTGATGAAGTTTTGAAAGATGCTAAAATTATTGTACCAATACATGTTGGGTACATTCATCAGTACCTTCAATTACTAGGATATTACGATAAAATGCTAGAACTAGGCGAAGAAGACTGGATATTCTGTAAAAAACTCCTAGTTTCAACAAATCCTCGTCCACACAACGTTCATTTCGGAATGGGAGTTCAGAAATTGAATATCAAGTTTAGAGAAATACTAGGAATCGATAAAATCGTTCCAACTCGTTTTGTTTTTATTAATAGATACAATTCTCGAGTTATTTACAACTTGAAAGAGCTTTTCAAGATGACTGTTGCCAAGTATCCGCAGTTCCCATGGGAGTATCTACCAGATCAAGATGGTTCTTTGGCAGATTACGGAAAATTATATGCAACCATCAAAATTCTCGTTGTTCCAAATGGCAGTAATTTATTTAAGTGCATTTATATGGGCAAAGATACACTTATTTTGATAATTAACAATGAGATGTGGGATTTATCAAATTATGGTATGATGCCAGCAGCTGGAGTTAGGTTAGTTGTATTCTACAACAAGAACTACGGCAGATTGTCCAGAGGAGCTGTTATTGATCCTTCTAAATTTATGGCTGCTATGGATGTAACGGCTTATTATGCTAAACATGGCGAATTCCCTCAGCCAGTAGAGAATGTCAGCTTTATAGATTACAAATACGAACAAAGCCCAAGAGGAAAGGTTATGTTAGTATTTTAATTTTATACAATTATATTTGTTTTGTTTTATACTATATATCTAATATATAATAGAAATTATAAAGTTTTTTTGTTATTTTTATGATATAAATTTTTATTTCAAAATATCGAACTGTAATTCAATCAAATATAAAGAGAAAGTATCTTAATATCAAAAGTAGTATAGTTTTACAATACAAAAAAGGTCTGAAATCAGAATCTTACGAAGAATGATAAAATAAATATAAGAATACTAATGATTCCTCCTATAATCTTGTAGTAGAAGTTCGGGCTAAGCTGTTTCCATTTCCTCTGGTGAAGAACAGCTCCATTTCCGACTAAAATTTCGGTTGTAATTTCGCTAACCGAATAATCTATAGGTGTTTTACCATCGTAGTTCATTGCTCTTACATCAGCTCCTTTCGAGACCAAATACTCGACGATCTCATTATTATATGAAGCTGCAGCGTAATGTAAAGCGTTGTTTTTCTTGTAGTTCTTCTTATTGATATCGCACTTGTTAGTCACCAATGTCCTTACGACGTCCATCCATCCCATCTTGACGGCATCGATCAGAGGTGTATTTTTCTTGTACCCTTCACAATCGATTTCCGCCCCCTTCTTTAGATATAATCGGACGATATCGTTCGCGCCGTGAAAAGCAGCGTAATGAAGTGGTGTATCCTTGACTTTATTGACTACATCCAAGGATGCACCGTTTTGGATGAGCATTTGAGCCAATTTTGCGTCACCCCAAAATGCGACGTTATGTAACACGGAATTATGCTCTTCATCGACCAATTCTATGTCTGCACCTTTCTCCAAGAGGTATTTAGCGAATGCGTAATGGTTGTTCTTAACAGCTTCCAATAATGGACTTGATTGCTTGTTAAAACCAACAACATTCGCTCCTTCATCGACTAACATTTTTCCGACGGTTAGATTTCCCTCTATGGCCGCCCAAGTCAAAGGTGTCATGTTCATTCCGTCACAAACGTCGACGTTGCATCTGTCATCGGAAAGACAGATCTCCATGATATAAGGAATACCCCAATAGGCTGCCCAGTGAACTGCTGTCTCGTAATTCTCTTCTGTGAGGGATCTGATATCAGATCCATTGGCTGCACAGAAAAGAAAGACCAACCAATTAGCGTATGACGCTGGAAGACAGATATCGACCATTTCTGGGTTGTAAGCGGCAAGAATCCAGTCGAAAACATCGAATCTGTGGTATTGAGCTGCTGCTTTAAGTCCTTCAACGAAGTCTCCGCCTAAATGGGCAACGGTTTCGATGATTTCCTTGTTTCCGCCGATGATTGCGTTTTCACAGATATTTTCATCGGGCTTTGAACCGCGTTCGATCATGTTTCTGAAGCAGTTGATGGATCCAAAGCGGGCGGCAAGGGAAAGAGGGTTGCAGGGTGGCCAGTCGCCTTTTTCCCAACAATTCTCATCAACTTCCATTGATGTGTAGTAATCATCGCCTTTCCATATCTCTCTGAGTAAATCGAGGTTGTCGAACTTGATTGCGTATTCGAGTGTGCTTGTGAAATAGCCATATTCAACAAGATCTCGGTACATTGCCCAGTCATCTTTCATAAGATGCTCGAGGATCTCTTCGTCTTCAAGTATATCGTTGAACTGAATAGCAGCATTTGTAATTCCTAGTTCTGGGACAAAGAAAAATGATTGATTTGGCTCGGCTGCGCATTTGCGACGAATTTCGTCTAAGGAGAAAACACCAGCATTAAAGAGTAAACGCAAAAATGAAAATCTTGTTTTCTCAAGTAAAGCGAATTTAAACGAATCATCAACATTTTTGACAATTAAAGCAGCTAAGTCAGCATAAAATGGCTGATTGAGAGGTCTGATAGTAGACCATAAGTCTAGGTATCCAGCAAGACGTGTTAGCTCTTCTTCTGTTGTATAATAACTGATTAATTCTTGAGCAAGACTTTCTAAGTTATCTGGATCAATATCATCAAGCTTTTTTTCGACAAGAATCTCTATTTGAAGTTCTTCTGGAATCTTAATCTTTGTTAAAGCATTAACTTTTAATCCAATCATCTACGAAATGTCAAGAAAAAAAAAATATTTCGCAAAATAATAAATATCAAATTTAACATTAATAATATAATAGTTAAATGATAACATTCAAAATCTCTCATACAACATACCATGTACTTCAAAATTTTTAAATTCATATCAGGAATATCTTGGATTTATATTAAATATTAATGATGAATACTTTTAAAATTTTCCAAAATGAGGATGCACATCTACAACATTTCCCGAATTCATTAGATTCTTGGAAAAATTTGAAAAATTTAAAAATCATAAAATACATTAACATACAAATAAGCTTTATAAATATAAGTACATATGATTTCTTGTTGACTTGTTAGAATGGCTTAATTTTGAAAAAGAATAGTAAATTGTATCGAAAATAATGAAAGTGTTGCTAAAGATAAGACATAATTATGGACATAAGTTCTAAATTATTCATTTCTTCTTATCATTTTCGATCATTTGCTGTACTTTTTCTAATTGTAAACGAGCAAGTCCACAAAGAACAGGTTGGCCTCTCTTAGTTCTACGATTTAACATTTTATGCTCCTTTTCCTTCTTTTTGCGTTTTTCCTCGGCAATCTCTCTAGCTTTGGCCTTTTCTTCCTTTTCAACTTCTCTCTTATATAGTTCTGTCATATTTCCGACCAAGTATTCAATACGAGCTTTCTGTAATGAATTAAGATTTGAATTTAAATATTGCTTAACCAAACTAAGGAATTCCTGCTTGTTCTTGTTAGAAGACGGTATTTTGCTAAGATCGACGCCTTCTTCAACAAGTGTTTGAGCTGCTTGCTCTATCAATTCGTCGTTAGACATTTCAAAATTTTGGGGAGCCAAAAATATGTTTCCTTAGTTTGGAGAGAGAAATATCATGGATACAAAGTACCAATCATAAACTTCACATCAAAACTCAGTTATGGCTAAAATTTGAAAAATTATTTTCTCTATCTAGCAAGTAATTTAAAATCCAATTGATATTTTATAAAACTAGAAAAAGTTAAGCTAATTTACTATTTAAATCCCTATAGAATCAATAATTTTTCTTTAGTCATAAATTATTGAGCGAATCTTACTATATTTTTTGCATTATTACAAAACTTATAGATATTAGTTAAATATTTTCAGCTCAATGTTTTTACAATCAAGGAAAGAATTGGGAATTATTATTCATTATTCTCTGATTAAAAAAAATTAAGAAAATAAAACCCTTTACGCATAAAAATTACACCTGTGATTCATCATCGTCATCATCAATCTTGTAGTTAAATGAATCATCTTTTCCACCATCTGACTCATGGAATGGATCTTCGTCGAATCCTGTTCCAGCAATAGGATCATCCTTTGTTGCAGTTTCTTGTTCTGGAGCCCTGTGTATAACTGTTTCATCTAATTCAAAATCTGAGCCATTTGCTTGTGCACCTTCATTATCGCCTTTCTTCTTAATGATAATGACAACAGCAATAATGATAGCGACAATCAAAAGAACTACTATAACACCAACTACACCTCCGATTACTGCGCCTTTGTTTCCTCCTTTTTGCTTGGCTGGGTCATCACCTTCACCGTCCTGTAATTCTTCATTCGGTAGTAGAGTTTCTTTAGGTGTTTCTTGTGGGCTTTCTTGTGGAGTTTCTTTTGGTGTCTCTATAGGTGTTTCTTCAGGTGTTCTTGGTGGAGGAATAACTTCAATATTTAAGGAGAGCGTTGTTTCCTTGTGACCATCACTAATTTCAACATAGAACGGAACAACTCCAACCTGATAATCAATTGGTATATCAAAAGGTATCTTTTCTTCAATTTCAGCACCAGTATGTGTGATACCTGTCTTGAATACAATGTAATCTCCTGTTTCGCCGAGTCTGTATTTAATTGATAACTTATCTTCAACAGTTGCACCGGAGAATTTGATATCGATACCATGAGATTTACCAACAAGGAATTTTGTTTGAGCAGCAGTTTCAAATTTAAGTGTTGGTGGAATTCTCTGCTTCATATGGAAAACAATTGCATCAACAATTGATTTGTCTCCATCAATATCCATAGACCATGCTTCAAATATGTAATTTCCTTCATCTGTTGGAATTGAAATTTCATTTATTGTTTCTTCTGCAGAAGTAATTTCGTCTGTTGTTGTGAAATGATTAACTGCTTTCTCAACATTATTGAACTTGTACCATAAAGTAACGGTAGACCCGAAATCATCATCTCCATAACTGATTTTAACAGTAGTTGTTGCCTTATCAGGATAATAAACTTGGAATGGAGTAGTTTGGATCTTGCATGTTGGTTTCTTCTTTCCTGTAACAATGATCGGAATATGTTCAGAAACTTCAGCTTTTCCATCTGTAATATGGAAGTATAAATTATATTGTCCTGGCTTAGTGTTTCGAGGAATTATGAACTCTGCAGCGTGATTGAATTCTTCTTCTCGTTCAAATGGAGCATTACTGTTATGGAAGAACTCTCCATCATCACCGAGTCTTGCTCTAATTCTAATAGCTTGATGCGTATTCTTATCTTTAATCTTCAAATCAAAATTTTGTGTGGTTCCTTGGGCATATTTTTGATTTGGAAGTGTTAAAATTGTTAATTCTGGCTTATATTCCACATATAATGTGAAACGAATTTCGATAATTTGAGATTTTGCATGTGAAGAGTCCCTTGCAAAGACCTCCATGTAAAATTCGCCAGGTTCTGCAGGCAACTTAAAGTTTTCAAGCTTTGCATTTTTGTGTTTCACCGCCTCTGTTGTAGTAAAGAAATCAAATCTTATTTCAAATTGACCAGGTAATTGATAGTAAAGTGAGATTGTTTGATCGGGTTGGTCATCACCATATGTGAATTCAATTTCTGGTATAGTTTCTTCTGTTTCATATGTATCTCGCAAGTATGTTTGACGAGTAACTTCTGGAACAGTATTCTTCAACACTATTACTTCAATATACTTCTCAACTTGATTGAATGAATTACTAACTTTGACCCAAAGTTTGTATGTTCCAGGTTCAGTAGTTGTTGCAATGACAACATCTGGCCGAAAATCTTGACTTGATCCTGTAATCGGTTGATATAATAAAGAGTTGTAATAATCTCCAGTGTCACCAATTTTTGTTCCAATAGTAAATGATCCATCAGTATTGGAATCGGTTACAGATATATCAAGTTTGTACGTTCCAGGATAACGCTTTTGGCCAGAAGGAGTATTTATTTTGAGATCTGGTAAGTCACGTTTAACGTTAAAAGTGAATTTTGCCACTGGAGATTTATTACCTTCATAGTCAACAGACCATGCTTCATAAATATATGTACCTTCAGCATTTGGAACAGAAATTTCCTCATGATTGAACGTAGCTGTTGGATTGTCTGAGGTTGGAGTGAAGGAATTAATTTCCTCTTCTTTTCCATTGAACCTATAGTATAAATGAATTAGTTTACCAAAATCTTTGTCTCCATACTTGATTTGCAATGAATACTTCTCGTTTGTTGGGCGATATTTTTCTTCCATTACTGTTAGAATTGAACATGTTGGGTTGTAAACTCCAATAACACTGAATCTTAGTGTTGCCTCATTACTGTTCTTTCCATCAGAGACTTTAATATAAAGTAAATAGGATGAGCCAATTTCTAAATTAGATGGAACGTCAAATAAAACAGTTGTTTCATAATCAGAAAGATAGCGATTATCAAATGTTTTAACCTCTTTATATTCTCCATTTTCACCAATTTTTGTATAGATGTGAAGTGTTTCATATTTATTTTCGTCTTCACCATAAATATAAATTTCATTTCTTCTAGATCCAGCTGCATATTTTTGATCTTGGGGTGTTGCTATTTCAATTGTTGGTTTTGCATCTTCCTCAACAGTAAATGATATCACACAATCACCTTCATAAGATCTAACACCTTCTGAATCAATAACATAATATTCAATATCATAATCTCCCGGATCTCTTGGAACATTGAATCTTTGAATAGGGAATGATTTTGCAGAATTTTCTTTTGTTGGTGTAAAATGATCAATCTCTTTTTCATCACCAAGGTAAATTTGATAGAGATGAAGCTCTACGCCTGGATTATCGTCACCATAAGTGATTGTTATGGAATCAAATAAATCTCCTGGGAAGTAGAGACTTCTGTAATCATAGGGTTCATAATAAAGAGCCGGAACCGTATTTTCAATAACTTTAATCCTTGTGGAAGCACTTGATTCAGTATGTCCATCATTTACTTTTACATATACGTCATAGTTCAAACCATAGTCAGTACCTTCAGGAATGGTGAATTGTACATCATATTCTTTCATTTGACCTTCATGATCTAGATTTGATTTGAAAGTCTTATATTTTCCATTTTTGCCAAATTTTGATTGTATTGTTAATGATGAATCTGAGTAGAATCCTTGTATATTGCATTTAATAGTTCTTGTACCAACAAAATATTCAGTATATCTTGGAGTAAGGATTTCAATTTTTGGTTTCTCTCTGTTACTAACTCTAAATGTTATTGTTTGATTTGTTGAAGAAATTCCATCAATATCTGTAGACCATGCATAGTAAACATAATCACCTGCTTCTTTTGGTAGTTCAATATCATTATGGGTAAATAAAGTCGATTTCTTTGAATCAGATGTTGTAAAATGATCTAATACTCCTGAATTTCCATTAAATGAATAATGTAAGGTTACTTTAGAGTTTAAGTCTTGATCTCCATATAAAATTTGGACTGATTGCTTGGGACTATCTGGGAAATATAAATCATTTGGTGTTGTCTGGATATTGCAAGTCGGTGCTTTTTCACCACTCACAATGATCGTAAGAATCTCTTCATTAGAACTGAAGCCATCTGTAACCTTGACATATAATTTATTCTCGCCTAATTGAGTACTTGCTGGAATTTCTACTTGAATATCATATGTATGCGGCTCACCATTGGATTCAATTTGATCTCTATGCACACTATATTGTCCGTTTTCCCCAAGTTTCCACTCAATTTTGAACTTTTCTCCAACATCTGTTTCTGTGATTTTAGCCTGAATTGTATGAGTTCCTACATGTAATTTTGTATTTTGTGCGGTTACAAATTCAATTGAAGGAGGATTTTTGCTGATGACTTTAATTGATTTTGTTTCGCCTTCTGATGGGTTGTTTCCCTCAGAATCTGACGCCCAAACAACAAGAGTATACGTGCCTGGTGTGCCAGGAAGAACCAATTTCGAAATGGTGTAAGGTTTGGATTTTTGGTCTGCCGTAGTGGTGAAACTATCAACCTTATTCACCGTTTGGCCATTGAATTGATAATGAAGAAAAACTTTGGAACTAACATCTTTATCACCATATTTGACTGTGATATCTATCTTATCATATATATAATAATAGTTATTCAATGTGGATGTAATTAAAACATCGGGTCTTTGCTTCCCTGATATATCAATTGTAGTTTCTACAGGATCTGATTCTGACACTCCATCAGTAACTAGAGCTTTAACCTTAACGGGTCCAATTGGTTGCGTTTCTGGAATAGTAATCTGAAAATTCTTCTCAAACTTCTGTCCATTATGCTGAATATTTTCTTCAATTAGTTCCAAGTTAGAACAAAGACCAGCTTTAAGAGTGAGTTTTTCATTTGCGTTTGGGTCTGTTATTTCAACTGTGAATGTGTATTTTTCTCCGGCATGGAAGGGACCATTTACTTCCTTAAATTGAACATAAGGTCCTGTAGCTTTCTTTACAGTAAATTCATATCTTTTATGAGAAGATTCATCTTTTCCATCAGAACACCATATTTCAATCCAATAAGCTCCTTGGTTGATGAAAGTCAACGGTCCGATCTTTCCATCGGTCTGTTGTCCCGGTTCTGAGGTTGTAAAAGGATTTAAGTTATATTTCTTTCCTTCATCATTGCTAATGATATAATAAGGAGTAACAGTATTGCCTTTATCTGGATCACCGTATTTGAGCTGTATTTCTGGTCTTTCGTTTGTATAATATACACTCTTAGGTTCTGTTATTATAGTAAGGAGTGGCTTAGAGTTTGATTTAGGCTCATCTCCATATTTCCCGGCCCGTATCTTAAAAGATAATGTTACAGATTGACCAGGTTGAATGTCTTTTTTCCATGTAAAAGAAGCGCATGAAAAAGCATCCTGGTTAGCGTCTGGATAGTTATCTGTAAAAAATTGAGGATTATTTCCTAAAAATATTTGTTCTATAGGTGTAACATCTACAGATCCGTCAAAGATGAATGTATATAATGGTACACTTCGATCATCAATATCATAGAATTGCAAATACTTTCTGTTTTCACCAACATAACAAAACATTTTTTTTGGCTTTCCATTAAGTTTAAATGACCAAGCAAATGTTACTTCTCCAGTTTGTGTATCGGTTGCTGATGGATTTTTGAGAGTGATACTATATTTTTGCTCGTCAGCTGCTGAAGTTGGTTCAAATTTGGCATTGAGATCTTTTTTAAATTTATAAAATTGGCCTAAACTATATTGAGTAGTTTTTCCACCATTAAATCTAAATCGGACATCAAATCCTTTATCAGCAATATAATTATAAGGATCATTAGTTACTAAAATTGGTGAATATGTATAGCCTTCAGGATAATAATCTATTTGATTTTTTGATGAGGTTGCTGCAATGAATAAACTTAAGGGTGCACACGAGAGGATCATGTAAACTTCAGAATTTAGAACCTTATTTTTAGGCATTATCTTGGCTACCTATTTCGGCTCGAAAAGCAAAAAATATCAAAAAATACAACTTGACTCCATTATGACCCTTTCATGGAGGTAGTTTTTATCCGCTAGTATTTTCCCTTTGAATCTCTTTACAATTCGAAATCAAATTCAAAACTCAGTAGAAGAAAGGAAGAATCGACTTACTACGGTTGTAATACGAATAAATACATATATTTAATTATTTTTATTTACATAATAATTGTTTGAAGCTCATATTCCATCAAATTTTTAAATAAAAACATTAAAATGTTGAAAATGTTCATATATTTTAATAGGGTTTTGGCACTTTATTGAGGAATTACTACATACATAGTCGAACTGAACTTGATATTTTGAAATTTAAATTATTTATCAAAATTAAAATTTAACTTGAAATTTATAATTATTTAGTCATATTTTGCATAATTCTAAGTAGATTTTGTAAAAAATCAAGAAAGAAAAATTTTAACGTGCTTTATTTTTTCTTTTTTATAATAATACATATTATTATATAATTAACATATTCATAATGTTTCACCCTTTCAAAAATATAATCCTCCTCCTCTCAAATAAACGTACATACGGGTGGCCTCTTTTTTCAAAAAATTAAAATTTGAAATTTTGGGCTCAAATATTAGAGATTTTTTCAACCTTCAACGATATATGTTGTCTATATCAGACCTCCTTTCTTTTTGATACTTAACATTGTTCCTAAATCTTAGCCGTTAAGGCTGTTCTGAAAATATTTTTTTTTTCGAAAAAATTCGAAAAAAATTCTTAAAATTCAAAAATCCCTTAATTCCTGAGGATTTTGGAAAAAAGTTTTTACATGAACATGTGTATATTATATGAAGTATATTGATAAGGTAAAAATCAAATTTTATTGCATATTCATCGAGAAAATAAACTAACGAATCCCTCAAAATTGAGAGGGTAATCCTCCTCCTCTCAAATAAACGTACATACGGGTGCGCCCTTAACATGTATTGAATTAAAAATGTTGAAGATAAAAAATTTGAATATCTATTGAAAATTAATTTATTATTCATATTTTAAAATTGAGATCGAGAAAATATGTTAAACAAATTTTAAAAGTTTTTGCAAATTACCTCAGACTTTTCAGAGGATTGAATGGCAACTCAATCTTCTGAAATAGTCTGTGGTAATTTTTAGTCTCTACACTATTTCAATATAAGCTCCATTTTTAAACAGTTTTTAAAAATCGAGCATTGAAAAGTGTGATGAGACTTTTATATTTTTCCATAGTTAAAATTGAAAGAAGATGTCAAATAAATTTGAGTAAATTGAAAATTGAAGAAAAAGTTTTATGTACATTAGATAATGTGTAATATTTTGATATGTAAATACATTTAGCTTAAAATAATTTTATAAATAAATCAACTGAAAAATCGAAATAGTAATAAGATGTCTCATATAACATTGATAATTATTAGGATAAAATTGTATTTCAAAAAATTTGAGATAAAATAGTCGGTTATTATTGAATTTTATAGTTTGTATCAAATATGCGAAATATTCTTTCTTTAAAGCAAACTGAAAATGGAGTTTATAAAGGATAAACACTAACATCTCAAATAATATAAAATGTCAAAAAATTTTCAATGTACAATTTTTTATAAATAAATTGAATGCAAAATTTCGATAAAAGACAAATATGAATGATAGTACAATCTTCAATAATAATTTGATTTAATAAATAAGTAAATTACAATCAAATTACTTTTGAAATAAAAAAGAATTGAATTAATACGAGAAAATTCTGAACATAAATCTAAATTTGATGCATTGAAAATGGTAAAAACAAATAAGCATTTTTTTTCGGCGACTTGTTGAAATTAAATAATATTCAATTTTTGATAACTAGTAAAATAACGGTCTCCCAACGATTTTATGCTAATATATTTTAAAATAATTTATGAGAAAACGAATAATATATTATCGTTTCGTATAAAGTTTTATGGTTTTGATTCCTAGAGTCGGCCCAAAACTTACTCGTCGAATGGGATCCCAAATTTGTATCATTTTATATTATTCCTCACTTTTTTTAGATTAATAGTATATGATGTGGGTTGTGTGACTTTTTTTGTAATCGTAAGAATTCTCACATAATTGAATGATTTTTGAACATACTTCCGAATAGCAGATTTTAAAAATTTATGAATAATTTATAAAAAGTTTTTATTCCTACAATTCCTATATTACCATTAATAAAAAGAATATATTTTATAATAGTTTCATTTCGAACATGTTAAAATTTATCTGCATTTCGAAAAATTTTATTATAAATGATAATATAATTTATTAAATTAATATATAACTTATGAATTTTTACTTTTTGTATGAAATAAAATTTAGTATTAATAAAGTTATAAAATAAATTGGTGCATGTTAGATGTAAATAAGATATAAAAAGGTGTTTATGAATACTTTAGCAGAACTTCTACTGGTAGAGTTTATACTGGCAGAACTTCTACTGGTAGAGTTTATACTGGCAGAACTTCTACTGGCAGAACTTCTACTGGTAGAGTTTATACTGGCAGAACTTCTACTGTTTCCCTCAAAATTGAATACTTTAGCAGAACTTCTACTGGTAGAGTTTATACTGGCAGAACTTCTACTGGTAGAGTTTATACTGGCAGAACTTCTACTGTTTCCCTCAAAATTGAATACTTTAGCAGAACTTCTACTGGTAGAGTTTATACTGGCAGAACTTCTACTGGCAGAGTTTATACTGGCAGAACTTCTACTAGTAAAGTTTCTACTGGTAGAACTTCTACTGGCAGAATTTCTACTGGTTATATATGGTGTCAATTTTTTAAAAAATTTTGAATTCAATGAGTTATATCAAAAATAAAATTCTTGAATAGAGTAAAAAAATTTAAATAATTTATTTAAATATTTTCTTCTGACATTTTTGAATAATTTATTTTTTTAATTCGTAAGAAAATGAGTGGATCAAGATTCGTAACCGTCAATCAATTAATGGATGCTCTTTCACCAATTCTTGAAAATGTTAAACAAGTAGATGTTTATTTCGATGATTATGTAGAAAGTTTATATTATAAAGGTAAACATAATATTAAACCCATTGCTTTTGCATTTGATAATAAATTAATTGAAAATGCAAAAATTTGGGAATTAATTCCAGATATTGAATATATAACGAATATAACTAATAAATGGTTCAAACGAATTCCAACCACAAAAGTTCTTTGTAAATTAATGATCAAAACCGAGGCCAAAGAATTTCATGAATTTACATATCATCCAAATAAAGTTTCAGAACTAGAAAATGAAAAACTTCAGAAAAAATTAAACGATAGACTTTCAAATGATCGTATTGAAAAAATAAATAAACTAGCAGAAGTTGCATTTAATAATGAAATATTTGATGAATATAACCTTGAACTCAGTGATGGGCTTTAAGGACCCGGGCTCAACGAGTCATGATTTATGAAATCAATTATTTGATTTATTCTCTTCAATAATTTCTATTCTTTTTGTTAAATCATCTATTTTCATTAATGAGGTGATTCTTGATTGAGGAATAGATTTCAAACTAAACCACTCCTTTTATTTTTGAAATTTTGAATCCATCAACTTTAAACATTTTATTCAATTTACACGTTGTCAATTCTTCAAATAATTTTTTATTATTAGCATAATAGTCATTAAATTCTTCAACAGATGAAAAAATTTTTATTTCAGTAATTGGTTTAACAACGTTTATTTTTTGTTGAACATTTTCACTTTCATTTATTTCTTCCTCCTCTGTTTCATTTATTTTTAAAATTGGTTTCATTTATCATTAAATAAAAATTAGAATATAAGTGATGAAATATATTTTTTAATTAATATTAAATCAGAAATGGCGGCAGGATTCTTTAAAAAATTATGGGATGGAATTAAGAAAGCTGCGGGTTGGGTTCATAAAAGATTATTAAACCCATTGCAAACTTTTTGGCACCAGTAGCGAAAACGGCAGGAACTATCATAGGTGGAGTATTAGGTACTAAAGCAGGTAATCCGGCGATGGGAGCACAAGCAGGTAACGCAATTGGTGGAATAGCTGAAGGAATACTTAATAAAATAGGGGTAGATAGTGGAAAAATAAATAAATATTATTTTTATCTTAGTATCGGTTGAAGTCTTTGATAAACTTTTTCTCCTTTATTTAATATTTCTCTTATTGGGGCAGCTTTTGGTGTTATTGATTCAGCAACGTCACTAATTGCTTCTTTATTCTTAAATATCCAATTTGCTCCTTTCTTTATTGTTTCCCAAACTTTATGCGCTCCTCTTTTTACTTTATCCCATAATTTCTTAAAGAATCCTGCAGCCATAGTTGATTATTTCATTAAAATTAAAAATTCATTTTCATCTTTTAATTTTGATTTTTTATTTATAATAAATGACGACTAACTATTTGGTGCCAAACACTAAACCGATTAATGGAAATGTGTTTCATTCATTCGAAAAGATAAATGAAATATTCGCAAAGAATGACGGTAGAAGATATTATAGAGAACTTGAAAGTTCATGCTATGACTCTGATGCTCCATATTTTGATGATAAACAAACTCATTTAAGAATTACAAATCCGGCTCATGATGTGAACCAATTAGGTGACACATATATTAAACGCAAAGTTAAAGCAACTCTAGTTTCAAATAAAGCTTTCACATGTGATGCCGCTTTTAAATGCATGCGTTTATTCGTTGGTTACAAATCATCAAATCAAAGCTTTAAACAATTAGAAGTAGAAACCGAAAGAGGTGATGCCGGTTATCTTCAGATGGATTGCGCCCGTGAATCTTTCGCATTTGCAACATATAAACCAAAATCAGAAAGGAAAGTTAAAAAGTTTGTTCATTCGTTATATAATAATGTTCAAAAATATGATAACTCAGTATGTGGTAAATATATTGACCCTT